CCCTTCAAATTGAGGAGAGAGGACCAAATCTCTCTCTCTAGAGAGACTCGTCATTTGGCACATAACTTTCTTATTAACATGATCAGACGGTTCATACTGATCCCTCAATCACATAAATTCTGTTAAGGGGTTGGGTGTCTTAATCAACTCAGAATTGAGCGATCATATACTAGTTGGATTCCTCTCGTCACGAGGCTCAATTCAACTATATATTGTGGTATATTTATAGTAGAACAATCGACGATAAAACAAAAAAATATAACGCAATAATTCGCAAAACAAAAAAAAAACTGTTGAACACACAAATTTACGTGGTTTAACAAATTACCTACATCAACAGAGTTACAGAGGATTTCATTACTCGAGGATTAACAAATTGCCTACATCAACTGCTAAACTTCTTCTCTTTACCTCTCTTTCTCTCTGCCTCTCTCTCTCTATAAATCGAGAGATGCCGAAGAAGCAAGGAGAGCCAAATCGCTGAAGAAGAGCAGAACTAGGGGAGCCGCTTGTAAGTTCTTCTTCTTCCTGTAAACAGTCACTGAAGAAGTGTTGGACGGGAAGGGAACCAAAGATTTAAATCACGAAATGGAGAGGCTCGAAACCGAAGAGGCGCGAATTGGAGGCCGGAAGGCAAAGCTTTGATTCACGAAATTGAATGAGCAGCGGGAGCAATTTCCCCATTCGTGAATCGACGCTAGGCTCCACTTAAGAAATCTCCCACTTGGATACTGGGACACAAGTTACAATGTCTTCTTCCTCAAACTGATATCTTCCACTAACGACGAAGCCCTTTTCTTCAAACATGATATCCTTCACCTCTGCAACTCAAAGCCCATGTCTTCACACCAGAAGACCAACTGAAGTTGAGCACAACTTTTATTTCTCAAGAGTAACACCCTTAGTCAACATATCGGCGTCAACATAGTCTTGCACCTCCAAGTTCTTTCCTGGATAATCTTGTTTTTGTTTACAACTCCCACTGCATGGGTAATATTTTGCTTCTGCTGAAAGTTTTTTTAAACAAGTCTAGTATTGTACTTTTTACTGTCATCAAACTCAGTCTTTACCCGGTACACTCACTTGTTGTAGAATGTTTTCTCTAGTGGAAGTTTTGTCAACTCTCACTTGCTCGCATTTTCATCTTGCAAGATTTCTTCATAGCTCTGCGATTCTCCACTATCTGTCTGTGGAACAATAGGAATGGGTGCCCTGGACCCACTCTTCTCTTCACCTCCATCACTGCCCTGCACTGTGGCCTCTGCTAGAAAAACAAACCCTACCTTTCTACAGTAACTAGAGCCTCAAAGATATGCCACTAGAGAATGTCTCCACACATCTGTGTGTACAATATTTAGTTTTTTTGCACTTGGTGATCTGCCACCTTTCAGGAAACTTAGCTTCTTCCGCTTCCCCACAATGCACCTCTGACTCACATGTTCACACATGAGTAAAACTGTAGTCATATATAGTATGTCAATTTTCTTACCCCGAGCCAGTACTAATGCTCATTTGGTAACCTTCCATGTGATATCTGAGAACACTACTGAATGACCACCCTCATTGAGTTGCCTAATAAAAATAAGGTTCTTCAACTCAAGAACGTGTCTGACTTTTTGCAAAGTTCATTTGCTCTTATTAGGGAGTGCAATATCAACGTCTCCCATCCTCATCACGTCTAGAGTTTTTTCGTCAGTCAGATATACCTTCCCAAATTTACCTGCAACATAATTTCGCATTAACTTACGGTGGGAAGATGTATGGAAGAAAGCCCCTAAATCCAGTATTCAGTTATCAACATAACTATGAACTCTAGCAATAGTGCATCATGTATTTCTTCAGTTACCACATTTGTGCTATCATTTTCCTTCTTTTAAGGATTTTTGCAATTCTTTTTTATGTACCCAGTCTTGCCACAATTCCAGTAGGTTGTCTGCTGACCAGAATTTGATTTTGATATTCTTCTGTTTAAGTTCCTATCCCACGATCTCCCTTTGGAATCAATGATCAATGTTGAACTCGAACCCGAGGTCTTGCCAGAATATTTCTTGCGTTGTTGCGCACCTCCTCAAACAAAATAAAATCGAGAATATCATCATATTTCAGTTTGTATTTACTTGCAGAACTGCTAACTGCCATTCTCAGGACTTCCCAACAATTTGACAAATATGCCAACAACATCAGTGCATGTATCTCATCATCAAATTCAATTTCAACAGATGACAATTGATTTGTGATAGTATTAAAATCATTCAAGTGTTGACCAACATACACACCTTCCACCATCTTCATGTTGAATAATTTTATTATCAAGTGTACCTTGTTATTCGTCGATGACTTTTTATGCATTCCCGATAAATTCATCATGAGATATGCAGTAGTTCTCTCATTGATGACGATGTGGGCAACGAATCTTGACAGTCAAATAACCCGGTTAATCTGTCGATCCAATAGATTCCATTTTGCCTCATCCATCTTTTCCGGCTTCTTTCTCAGCAACGACATGCGAAGTTTCTTCCCATGAGGTAGTCTTCTATCTGCATCCTCAAGTAACAAAAATCAATGTCATTAAATTTCTCGATCCCTGATGCAATCACTTCGTTTTTGTCAAACGTTCTTTATTAGATCTGAAACTACATCTCTGATATCAATTATTGCAATATATTTATAATAGAACGATCGACGACGAAGCGAAAAAATAGCACGAAAAAATTAGCAAAACTAGAAAAGAACGGCGTAACACACAAATATACGTGGTTCAACATATTGTCAACGTCCACGGAGTTGCAGAGGATTTTATTACTTGAGAATTACATCGTCGTCGATCACACCAACAATTACATGAAGAACTTATTCTCTTTACCTCTCTTCCTCTCTACCTCTCTCTCTTGCTCTCTCTAAATCGAGAGCAACTTGCCGAAGAAGCAAGAAGAGCCAGATTGCTGAAGAAGAGCAGAACTAGGGGGGCCGCTTGTAAGTTCTTCTTCTTTCTGTAAGCAGTCATCGAAGAAGTGTTGGACGAGAAGGGAAGTGAAGATTTAAATCGCGTGCTCCATTTAACACTATAAACATGCCAATGCATTTCACCATTCAATTGACGATCCAAAGCCTCTAATCATGCTTTAACGACTTCATCTGGGTTTGATTGGACCTATATTGAACCAATTGTAAACTTATTGAGTTCATATTGCCAATACACCCGATCTAATTATAAACTTGATGAAATCAAAGTTCGAAGGATCATGAATTTGCGTTTGAAATGTAGTTAAAAAATGTTTTGAGACACACACCTGATAATTAAAACCTTTTGATGACACAATGATGCCTAATGTGATATAAGGTTTATAGTTTATTACCTGAACAAAGATCCACAAATCTCGTCATACATTCACATATTATTCATTTTTTTAGCTTAATATTTTACGTTAATCTCATTCATATTATAATATATAGATGGGAATGCATTCAAATATAAATAAGTAAACAACTAATACAACTAATATGAAATAAGAGCTTGAATTTTTGGATTGTCACTAGGGGTGTAAATGAAGCAAACACGAACGAACAAAACTTTTGTTCTTGTTTGGTTCGATTGAAATTACGTGTGTTTGAAATATACTCATGTTTGAAATTATTTGTGAATTTAGTGTTCGTGTTCGGTTTGATTTGTTTAAAATATGTTTGAAATGTTTGAATTATTCAAATTTTTCAAATTATTTGAATTGTTTGAATCGTTCGAAATTGTACAAATTTATTTGTGTTGTTTGAATTGTTCGAAATCTTTCAAAACTTGAACCTATATGAAATTAATGCTTAAACCTTTAATCACAAAACGTATGCAAAATAACTGAAGCACAACTCACAATAAAACCATAATATCATAACTCATTCATAAAAAAATCAGATATAAAGACAATATGCGATATCACTCCAAAAACTGTGTTTCACTCAGAAATTAAATAAATCTAAAAGAAATATAAGAAAATTAAAATTAAGAGACAAACTCGAAAATAAATACAAAATTATAGAATTTAATATAAGCTAGGAATTATTTTATATTTCGAACAATAACGATTACGATCGAATAAATGATTGTTTGTGTTTGGTTCATTTATAAACCGAATGAGAAAAAATAAAAAATATTTGTGTTCGTCTCATTTGCTTATCGAACGAATCAAACACGAACTCCCCGACGAGCCGAACACGAATTATTTGCGAACAATGAGTTTTTTTTACAGCCTTAATTGTCACTGAAATGGATTATTGCTATTGTAGTGGTGTTGTAGTGAACCCCACTACAATACTCAAATCCACTTATGCCCACCCTAATGCTGTTCGTGAATAATATTTCTTCATATCACAGATATATAAGTTGCTAAGAATGTTTAAACAATACTCTATTAAATAAATAAATGTAGTCTTCAAATAATGAAACAAATGAAATATTTTACAATTATAATTGTCACGACTCGTGAGTCACAAAATACCAATAGACCTTATGCAGAGATGCATGCGGTGGGTCCCACCAAAATTGGACACCGCGTGCAGATATACATGCGCTGATCGGACACCGCATGCAGAGATGCATGCAGTGTCCAATAGAGCAGTTATTGCGTGCGGACACCATGCATCTCCCATCCTGATCGTAGATCACGGTGAACTACGGTCCGAATTATTTCAATTAAAAAAAAAGATAAAAAAATTCAGTGGAACCCACCGAAATACATCGGGACCGTAGATCAGGTGATCAACGGTCCGGATCGGTCATCGCACGCACGCTGCGTGAGGTGTCCCGATATATTTCGGTGGGTCCCACTGAAAAATTTTTTTTCTTAAAAATAGAAATAATACTGACCGTACGGTCATCGCACGCACGCTGCGTGAGGTGTCCCGATGGATTTCGGTGGGTCCCACCGAATTTTTTATTTTTTTTTTAAATGGAAATAATCACCGTGCTTAAAAATAGAAATAATACTGACCGTACAGGTCCGCACGCAATAACTGCTCTATTTTCAGACCCCAATGCATGAACTTTGGATCTCCGGCGGCTTCGTCCCGGTATATTGAACGGAGACCGAGGTATCGGAAAAGTGAAGGTAAAGGAAGAATGTGGGGCGCCGCTAGAGATATGATGCGGCGGCTTGCAACTGCGATGGCCGGCGCGCCCGTGGAGCGGCGGGTTTTCGTCGATCACTGGATGAATCAGGTTCAATCACCCTTTTCTTTGATCGCCGAATACTTATGTTTAGTTTCAGCTCTCATTTAATGGTGCTATTTCTCGCATCTAAAGTGATGCTTTTTTGGTATATTAGGGTTTTGTCACTTATGTTCCGCATTTCGAGTAAAATTATGGCCAGCACTGTGCCTGGTTAGTATGATTTGAAGTTTCCGATTAAAGCAAATGCTTTTGGTGGCATTGGGTCAGTTTTAGCCAAATCTATGGATCATTGGTTTCCTTGAGGTAGAAAATCAACTAGTGGGACTGCATAGGATGACTTTGGGAGTTTAGGTTTGATTGTTGGAGTGGATTGGGGACTCTTGAACGTTTTTCAGGACTGTTAGGGCTTTCTAATGTTGGAGGTCATCTTTGGGATTTCGTAAGAGGGATTTGAAAGGATGAAAGTACGTGTCCAAAAGGAATGAACTTTAGAATCAAAGGATTTATGACTCGGGACCCTATGGGACCAAATATTCAAAAAGCTTGAAATATAAACCTGTTTAAAAAGTCTGACTAGAGATTATTCAGGAATATCCGAGGTATGACTGATGCATGTGTAGAGCAAATGCAGTCAATTCTTCACAGCTTTTCTTGCAATAAACCGTCCTTGGTTGACCGACCCATCCAAACCGAAGTTAAAGCGCAAGCTTCAATTGATGGAACCAACATTCTATTGACTATTTTGACATCTCCAAAATGCAAACTAAGTTTCTGATAGGTTCAAGGAGATGTAATGATCTGTCTGGGAGCAATAATTTAGAGTTTCGTCGAATGGATAGATAGAAAAATTTTGACAAAAGTCGCTCCTTTTAGATTTGATGAAAATGGGTTTGATTGTCTCCAAGCAAATTATAAAGCCTTTTTTGGCTTCTAGAGGAGCATTTTGAAACAAATGATAGTGTGAAGGATTGTGCAAGTCAAAATAATTTAGAAATTTTGCATAATTTTTATTTTTCCGAAAAAATGAGGGCACATCAGTGACAGTTAAGGCTACCGGCCAAACCTAGAGGCCCCAGTTAGTTGCCCCATTTGTTGCCAATAATCATGGAAATTGGGTTCTTTTATTGTCTCCTCCTTGTCAAGGTGGGAGCTTTATGCAAGCAGGAAGACAACTAACGACAAAATGATCTAGTTTGGTTTCGACTGTTCGAGGACTGATTAGGCCAATTCAAGCCCATATGGGAGTCGATTTGGGCACATCAAGCAATTGATTTTCATTTTGGACACAATCTTAGTTAAAATTATATAATTTCAAGGAAGATAATGCCAAATATAAAGATTTTAGCAAAATATGTAGCAATCTGTGCTTCACCTATGTTTAATAAAGACTTCATGATTAAAGATGATTTTGTTTTCTAGCGGACTTAATGTTGCTTCCATGCTTCATTTCTAAGTTATTCTTATGTTTTGCAAAACATTTTGGTTGAGAAAAAATTGTGGCCATGGATAACAATAGATGTTACTGGCCATATTATTGAAGATGTTAAACATATAAAAGATAAAACACACACCAATGATTGAAATTTATACTCATTACTTATCCTTATAAATCATGGGAAAATATGAGCATTTATTTTATTTTGGGACTGCCACGAAAACCAAGGAAGCATGATTTCATTTTTTCTAATGCTCGATTGTTTCTCGAAAATAGTTTGTTTTATTTTAAAATTTAAAATTTTTTGACACATGTCATTTTCCAATTTTTATTTAATTTTATCTAATGGGGACTATTATTGGTATTTTTGGAGATCTCTATGGAAAAATGAGGACCAATTGATGGTGAAATTATAGTTAACGGGAGTTTGAGTGATTCATTACGGTGTCTGATTAAAGAGTACACATTTTTGTGTGATCTCACTACTAATAGTTGAGTTCATATATAATTCATACACTAGTCTACAAACCTAAATTTTTTGAAATTATCATTAGCTATAAACTTATAAAACCCATAGAACTTTTTGAGCTTCCTGTTGAGTCTAGACTTACTGAATTCTCAAAATCTTTTACACATGATATGCATTATCAGCTCGATGACATTCACAACAAACTTATAATTAATCATAGAAGTTATAAATTTACTGCTGATGCATATGATAAACATGCGAAATTCAAACTAGTGGATAAGATAATAAACGTGCTTGAATCTAGAGAGGTTTTCTGCTGGAATCTCTATGAAGTTAATTGCAAGAAAGGAAGGCTCGTATAAACTTTTCAACAAATTCGGACTAACACTTACAAATTGAAAATTATGGGAAGTTTCAGTATCAATATTTCCTTTTATTTAAATTTTATTTTATTTTATTTTTTTGGACTTGTTGTCAGTACCATGGATCCCTCTTATCTTTTTTCATCTCTGTGAATACAAATCCAACTCCTTATCATACATTTCTATTCAACTTATTCCTAAAGCTATTATGAATGACGAGTTTGTGTCAATTGTTGATGGTGGATATTAGATGCTTCTTACTTGTTGGCATGACTTACTAGCATATGATGATTTATTGATTAATTAGTGTGAATACAAATCCAACACCTTATCGATCATTTCTATTCAACCTAAAGCTATTATGGATGACAAATATTGAATGATCAATTCGTTAGAGAAAATTTTTCAACCCAATAATTTGATTTAAATAAGCAGTTCTATTTGCGTCTAATACATAAAAAGTGATGATTTATATGAATTATATCAATCCTTTGGTATTCCAATTAGCACATATAGGAGCTCAAAATCATTATTGCACCCCAAAGTGTGAATTACTACTCATTACTTAGCAAAATTTCTCTGCAGTTCCACTATGCTGTTGTTACCCTTGCGCCTATGATTATGTTTCTTCAATATTTTTCTATTGGTGGCTTGCAGGGAGTTGTTCTTGTTGGTTGTCTTTCCACTTGCTGCCCATTTTCTTGTTCCCTTATTGTTTCCGCCTTTGTGTTTTCCACCTTTTTGCTAGCTTTTGCTGATTGTTGTTTTTTTCTCCTGTTGTTTCAGTAGTGTCCTCAAGTCAATTCTACTTCTTTTCGTTGCTAGTGAGTTTCTTGTTACTCTATCTTGATACTTGCACACTGCTTTGCCTTTCTTGTTACTATTACCCTTTTAACTTGGTTACTTGTTGCTTCAATTGTCATCACTTATACGTACTTGGCTTGCACATAAATTATTTTTTCCTTTTATTACACTCAATTCTAACTACGATGTTGTCTGCTATTGCTTTTTATCATTTTTGTCAACTTCTATTTAAGGTATATTATTTTTTTTACTATTGTAATTTCTTTTTGCACATCATTTTCAAGTTTACAAATGGGACAATGAGGCTTATAGAATTTTTTTGAATGTTAAATGTTGAAAAAAAAATTAGTTTCACCCTCTCTTTTGCTTGTGGTTATTGTTGTTTTCCGAGTGCTATACAGATTATTGGCAGGGATGACCACTTCGGGCAGGTAGGGTGACGAGGGGTATTTTTTTCTAACTATATTCTTGCCTATTTATTTGCTCAGTTGGTTTTGCGTGATGATTGGAATTTTGTTAAGATGTATGTTAGAATTTTTTATTGGAAGTGAGAACTTGGTTGGTTGCTACATTTTTATGTTTGATCCTATGTTTTTGCCAATTTCAAAATTTGATTTATGGTTAAATTATATCATGGAATGTGTAAAACACATTTGCTATCCTTACATTAAAATTGACAATTTTTTTTTGCCAAAATTATGAATTAATAACTTATGGATTGTACTTTTCAATGTTTTAATAGTACAGCTTATAATTGATTATATTAGAAACCTTTGACCTTAAATGACCCTATATCAATTCGTATTCATAATTCGATTGAGAAGATTTGCTTGCCAAACCTCTGTAATATCATTGATAATCCTTCAAATCTTGATAGATATCTCATATGGACGCTAAGTTTTCTATATTATGTATTTATACATGTATATTTTTACATATAAGCAAAGTTTATTTTACTCTTGCACTTTTATATCATGGACACTGCATGCTTAAAATTCTATGATGCTTAAAAGACATTGTGCTGAAATTTAAAAATATTTTCTAATATAATCGATGCCATCAATTATAAAAATTATTGATGTTTAGTTGGTTTTGCTTGATGATTGGAATTTTGTTAAGATGCATGTTAGATTTTTTTTTTGGAACTAAGTACTTGGTTAGCTGCTAAATTTTTTATGTATAATCCCTTTTTTGTGAATTTCAAATTTTGATATATGGTTCAATTATATTAGGGATTATGTAAAACATATTTGCTATCCTTACATTAAAAATGACAAAATTTTTTGCCAAAATTATGAATTAGTAATTTATGGATTGTACTTTTCTGTCTTAATAGTATATCTTATACTAGATTGCCCCACCCCATATTACATAGTATTCATAATTTCATTGAGAAGATTTGTTAGCCAAACCACTGTAATATCATTGTTAATCCTTCAAATCTTAATAGATATCTCATATGGACCTTACGTTTTCTATATTATGTATTTTTGCACGTATATTTTTACATTTAAGAAAAGTTTATTTTACTCTTGTAATTTTATCTTAAAAACAAAAATATGGATATTCCAAGCTTAAAATTCTATGGTGCTTAAAATTCCTTTTGCTGAAATTCAAAAATATTTTCTCATGTTATTGATGCCATCAATTGAAATAATTATTGATATTTTTTATGGTTATTTGATTTGGTTTGTTATTTGTGCTCGGCTCATGTTTAGCTTATTAATAAATAACTTGAAGATGAATACTGTTTCTCATCTCATCAATAAATTCGAAATTTTCTGTGTTTGGGTTGATAGTTACAAATACAATCTTAACCTAACAAGACTGCGGCTCATTCATGTTTGACCTAGGTTAAACCAGTAACGACAATTGATGTTTGTCTGATTGATTATGCAGTCATATTAGTCTTTTTAGCAAGGATTTCTCCTGATCAGATTCTTCCGGATGTAATAGGTTTAATCAAACTCAGCTTGAAAAGTTTATCTGGCTAGATGTAAACATTAAACTGTCATTTGTCGTTGCTTTTACCATTCTTAAAGCTGATACTTACTTATATACTGCTAAATTTTGCAGAAAAGTTTGAAGAAAAGTCTGCCATACACGTCAAAAGGTTTTTGCACATATGATAGCCAAGCAACTGAAGGCTTTATTCCACCAGAGTTGTTGAAAGGCAAAATGATCTTGACACCAGATCGTGTTATAGGTATTCTTTTCATGTTTGTTAGCAATTATGTTGTATTTGGATATTAGTTTTTGATTTTATGAATATTTATTCTTTAGTAGTGGCAGTTTGCTTTATTTACCTTTTTTTATGGACTAAATTGATCTAGTGAAAAGAAGCTACTGTCTCTCCTATTCTTGTTTTCCCAATATATGATAAATTTATGCTTTAGATTTTGACTTGAATATTTTCCAGCATAATCTAATGAAAATGTATGCTTTAGATTTTGACTTGAATATTTTCCAGCATACATGACCTCTGAAACCCCTTTTGAATCTAATGAAAATGCTAGATGGCTAGAAGTAATATAACTCGAGCTTCAATTTTAGTCACTATTCTTGTTCAGGCTTTTAAAAATCTACGAAATGAAATTTCTAATGCTTTTATGAACTTTTTCCCCACGCCAAACATTGGTTTCCAACCTTGACATACTTTTCCCCATTCACTGGATCAATAATGACCTGCATCTTGTGTGTTCAACTTCAAAGATGGTCGCCTTTCCATTCTTTGTATCCTATTTTTGCTTTCTAATAGTCTTTTTGTGTATGGTTCTTTTGTAATATCATAGTAATCTCATAGTTTAGCACGTTGAATAAATTTTAGATCTTAAAGACCTCAAATGTTTGTTATTGCTTTTGTGAGCCAGGGAGGGTGATATAGTAGATGAGATTATGTATAATAAATATGGGTTGTTTTGGCTTTGAATATAAAAATTAATCTATAAGACAGGGACGTTGATACTTGAGTTAACCCAAATCACACTAGGAAAAACAAATATTATTACCGGAAGTAAATAAATGGTTACAATCAACACACTTAAAAGGGAAAATACAACACATACAACACACAATTCGTGTTAGGGCGGATCTTGGGTGATGGTGGTGGCAGTCAGGGGGTTCGAAGAGGTGGCGGCAAGGTAGGGAAGGGGTTTTCGAACTGTGAATGAGCAGTGGCAACGGTTAGGGGCAGCTGGAACAACAGGATAACATGGGGTGGCAGTCCAATCAGCAGCAGGTTACTGTTTGGGGTGGCTGAACAGCAGGAAGACAGCAAAGGGAAGGTGTTGTGTGCTGCGGCAGTAAAGGTGGAGGGCTGGGACAGCGAGGGCAGCGAGGAGGGAGGAGAAGGCGCTGGGGACAGCTGGAACGGCAGAAAACAGCAATCGAGATGCTGTTGCAGGCGGCTGCAGCGACGTATGGCAGCAATAAGCGATGTGGAAAGATGTGGAAGGGGATAGGAGGAAGATAATGACCACCTCCCTTGGATACAGCTCTCAAAGTGGTAAACGGATGCCGGCGGCTATCCAAACAGAAATCTAAAATAAAACTCACCAAAACCTAACCCTAAGATAACAAACAATATATTTATAATAAGTATTAGTAGTTATAATAGGAAGGAAATAGAAAAGGTAAGGGATCAAATATTAAATTGGTCTGCTCTACTGTAGCTGCTACAGTACTGCGACCCAAGCTACCGCGTCAGACATGCTATTAATGTGAATGATATATGATGAAAAGAAGTATAAGTATAGATGAAACTTGTTTAGTCGTGAAATTGGACCTGTATAAATCAGATTTAACGCCTCTTGATATTTTCAATAGAAAACAATGAATTTTTCTATTTATTTACTACAAAGAAAGTCAACTAATTAAATATCCTGAAAAATGATGTAATACTTTTTGTTTTTCACCCTCTCAAACTGAAAAGGAGAAAAACTGCAATAAATTTAATCACCAATATTTTGATATATACGTAGAAACTTTGAAAGCTTTATCTGGGCATTTTTTGGTTTATTTTTGTTAAATATTATTTATGCTGATAAAAAGCATACCATGCATATTGTTGTCTTATGACTATGGTCTGACAAGGGTTGATGTATGTTACTTTTGCCCTTCTCTATACGATTGTATCTTTGTTCAATTTATTTAAGCCTAGGATGCATCAAGATTATCCATGATAAACAACTCGCAGAATTTTTTTTTTATGATATAATGCTCATAATCTCTTTTTAGAATTGCCCATAAGCATTTTATCTCTCTCTCTCTCTCTCTCTCAAGTTTATTGATTCTCTTGTCCTTTTATTTGAGCAGGGGTTTTATGTTAATGATCAAATGTAGATCTTTATCATGCTTTCAGCAAAATGGTTATATTACAAAACATATCTTCACTATTTTTTTGGTATCATTTGCTCATTTAGGGTCTTATTGGAAGTATTTCTTGTTATTTCAGGAGAATATCAAGATCTAGTAACAAGAGTCACAAATTTTCACAATGAGGATAAAGGTTACATGGTTCTCGCTGGTGATGTCTTTGATGTGCCTATAAGAAAGGATATTGTTCATAGAGTTGTAAGGTGGCAACTAGCAAAAAGACAGCAGGTATTTTATGGTTAATTGTTGATTTTTGAGCAAGTATTATATCATTTTTGTCATGTTGTTGTTTGATTAAATGCTATTTTTAGTATTATTTTAAACTCAAACACATACAAAATGACATAGATACCATAATAATCCTTTTTATCACCTCTTTATATTCGGGTAACATAATCAAAATAAGCTATTCGCTCTGCTAATACATACTCTGGCTCTAAAATGCATGTTTTTAGAAAATAAGTATACTAGATGGCATATTTGATATTTCTATAATTTGAGATGAGATGCCAAAAGGTTGATACTTGTTTTTCGGATGAAATTTGAGTTTTCATGGAATGAGTAAACTACAGGGTTTCTGGCTCTAAAATGCATGTTTTTAGAAAATAAGTATACTAGATGGCATATTTGATATTTCTATAATTTGAGATGAGATGCCAAAAGGTTGATACTTGTTTTTCGGATGAAATTTGAGTTTTCATGGAATGAGTAAACTACAGGGTTCTAATACATACTCTGGCTCTAAAATGCATGTTTTTAGAAAATAAGTATACTAGATGGCATATTTGATATTTCTATAATTTGAGATGAGATGCCAAAAGGTTGATACTTGTTTTTCGGATGAAATTTGAGTTTTCATGGAATGAGTAAACTACAGGGTTTCTGGCTCTAAAATGCATGTTTTTAGAAAATAAGTATACTAGATGGCATATTTGATGTTTCTATAATTTGAGATGAGATGCCAAAAGGTTGATACTTGTTTTTTGGATGCAATTTGAGTTTTCATGGAATGAGTAAACAGTAATAACTAAAATAGTACGAGGTTACATGAAATGATAAGAAGTGAGTTGTGTTGGTGAGTATTTCTTAATGTATTTCATCTCCAAACTTAGAAATTTGCTTATCTCACACCGGCCTAAATTTGGTATTTTTATTCAGTAATAACTAAATTATGGTTCTAATCTCCCCTGCATACCAGAGCTTTATGGGTGTTTCCACCTCCAAGCAAATCATTGTCACAATGATTTTGTTTGTTTAGTGTGCTGCATTTATTGCACAAACATGTGTACTATGTGATACGAGATGTTTTTTCTTGAACCATATACAATATTTCCATAATTTTATGTAGTACTTTCTATTAAGTACTATTTCCAAATCTAACTTCCATTTAATCACAATTCAATATCCGTCATGCATTTGCGAAACTAGGATGGTAAAAATGTTATATGTGGACTGCTTTTCTTGAAAAATCTAACTTCCATTTATTTGCTGCATTTATGCCCCCCCCCCCCCCCCATTCTAGATTATTCCATTCTAATTATATATATGTTATATGTTATATGTGGACTGCTTTCTAATTTAGTACTATTTAAAATGTTATTTCCAAATCTAACTTCCATTTATTTGCTGCATTTATTTCCCCCCCCCCACCTCCTTCCCTACCCCGCCGCTCTTAATTTTATATTGTTTTAGTTTTTATTGTACATTGGCCTCCACTATGGATTATAATTGTTTGAAATTTCTCTCTCTTTTTTATAGGACTTTGTGAATCTGCTTATTACTTGTTACTCTTTCAACTTACATTTTATAGAAATGGTTATGCCCTCAAAAATATAATTACCTATTGCATTAAATCTAAGCATTTATGTTGTTTGAGATCCATATATCTGCAGTAGAAGTGATAAAATGCAGTCGATTTGCATGTGTAATAGTTATAGGCGTGATCTTTAGGAAGTTCATGCCCATGTACGTCTCATACCACAAATTTAGAGTTTATAGGAAGGGCAATTTTATGTTTGAACTTCATATACTGTTTTGGACTGTATAGATGATGTATCATCTAGTTTGCTTCTAGTATGACTGTTTCACTCTACTAATTTTTTCCTTTCATACATGACAATGACTGGAGAATGATTAACCATTTTTTTAATTATTAGGGGACTCACTCGACAAAAACAATATCTGAGGTCAGTGGTACCGGAAAGAAGCCATACAAGCAAAAGGGAACTGGACGAGCAAGGCATGGTACACTGCGAGGGCCACAGGTTACTTATATGACTTTTGTCTTAGCTGTCCATTTCCTTTCTAACCTCTGCCTTAGATATGTTATGAACCACCTACATATTAGCCAGGTGCATATTTCCCAGACCTTTAAAAATGGTGTTCAGAGTGACCTTTTTCAAAAAAGAAAAGTGCCAAAAATGGTCCCCTCACTTTTTATAGAGGTTTATTTTAGTCCCAAATTCTACAAAAGTGTCAATAGAATCACCAAACACTTTTAATGGGGATAAAACAATCCTTCATGGGGATTATTTCAACCCATATTAAAAGAGTGGGGAATAATTTGACATTTCAATGGACTCTGGGACTAAAATGACCCCATGTCTATTTTGGCACTCTTATTTTTTTCAAAACCTCAGAGAAACTGTTAGATACGCCGTACAATACCCAAAATTTTTAGTTGATGTTCTGGAATAGCTAATGTAACTGCATCTTATCTTAACAGTTTAGGGGTGGAGCTACCATGCATGGACCTAAGCCTAGAAGTCATGCTATCAAGCTGCAGAAAAAGGTTCGGCGTTTGGGGTTGAAAGTTGCTTTGACAGCAAGAGCTGCAGAGGGAAAGGTAATTTGTATTTTCCCTTGATGAGTCATAGCATTGCTACTCACAAGTATCATACTTAAAGTTAAATTGTATGAGTGTCAATTTTTTTTTCTTTTTTCAACATATCGATCCTTTTTTTAGTGGAGATGCCACCTTCTCTTGTTGACATTTCAAAATTACTTTAAGAAGAAATTAGTTTTATTTTATTTAGCACCTCCCATTCTAGATTAGCTGGAACTTCACTCATTTCAAAATTAGAGTATTCAAAGTTGGTTGGTGGCTGTTGAATAGTTTACAAGATTGCAAAGTGAACCCCAAGTTCTGTTTTTGTACCATGAGAATATCAATGAACTTTCAAATCAACTAATTTGGCTAGGAATTGCCAATTTATTTTCTGGTTTTCTAGGATCACAATGTATGATAAAGATGGGAAGACATCAATTTATCAAGGGTTTGTTAATTTCCATGCTTCTTTTTTTGTAACTCATAATGTCCTTTACCAGTATTGTGGGTCTATTTAAAATTGTCTAGCAATGGATTGTAAAAGTGTGGAAATTATCTCTAAAAAATAGATTTCAGCATGAACCGGGGTTTAATCTTTGTTTTTCTTTTAAATTCGAACTTATAATGTAGTTTTTTTTCTCTTAGTTGTAGTGTATTTGAAATACTCAAGAACTTAAAATGTTGTTGAAGCCTCACCCCAACAGAATCATAATTCACCTGACAGGTTTTTTTTTTAAATAGATTTCATGTGAGATTTATGGGGGTGGATGCCCTCAACTTTCTTTGATTGAATATGGGCAAATGTGTCAGGACCATTCAAACTTTTACTTATTAGAGTAAGAAATAAGATTGTCGACTAGTGTAAGACTTGCATTATGGTAGATAGAGGCTACATGCACAAAATAGAGAACTTTGCATGAAACTATCTTTTGTTTTCAATTTAGTTCTTTTATTAAAATATTTAATCCCAGGAACTGTTCTGTGATTATTCGAAAATTGAAAGGAAGTTAAAAAAAAAGCAGCCCTCTATATGATTTGATTCCTTGGGGTTTTTTTTTTCCAGTTTTCCAAACATATACTCCAGTTAGTTTCTGAAAGATTCATCAATAGTTCATATTTAAACTATTTAGCCGGCTTATTAATGGCTGGCTTTCTGTTTGAGCAGCTTTTAGTTTTCGAGGATTTAGCTGTCCCAAGCCATAAAACAAAGAACATTGTAAATTATATTGCCCATATAGAGAATGCAAAGAAGGTTTTGTTGGTTGATGGTGGCATTATTGACAACCAATTGAAGTTGGCTACAAGGAATCTGCATTATGTCAATGTGCTTCCCTCAATTGTAAGTAAAATCTCCATCCACAGTACTATTTTAATGTGTCAGATTCTTATATTTAAGGGGTATTTACGTACATACCATCATTTTCAATTTTAAAAAAGTGAAATTCACCTTTTTCATACATAGGAAAGGTATGTATGTTAAAATTGAAGTTTAGTGGCATTTATGTAAATCTTCCATTTAAATTTTGTATCAGTTGCTGATGTTACTTGTGTCAGGGTTTAAATGTCTACAGCATCCTTCAGCATGACGCACTTGTGATGACAAGAGATGCAGTTGACCGGATCGTCACACGTATGCACACACCAATCAATCGTTGACAATTGGATTAAACGACAATGTCAATGCAGTCTTAGAAAACTGGAATAGAGCTTTGGTCACAGGTATTTAATGTTAGAAATTGATGAAAATTGCATGCCAATTGTAAGTCTGGATGCACTCACTTGCACTACAGAAATATTTGTTTGTGCTTGAGGAATAATTAATTTCAGTTGAGTGTCAGAGTATCTCTCTTAATGGATTAATGCTGGAAATTTTTGGAAAGAACATGCCAATTTTAATAATTTTTTGTTAAATATTTGTGATTGAAGACTGATTCCTTTTGATTCAAGAGTTGAGCCGTATATTTTAATGGATCATTTATAGCGAAAATTAATGAAGTGGCAAGTTTGAAATGATGGAAATTAAATGTAGTTTTACGACTGCATCACACTGTATATTCTTTTTGTACAAAAAGGTGCTAGTTACCTAAGGCTGTGAGTTGAATTATAATATTTATGATTGCTCTAAAATGAGAATGATTTTTGGTTCAGGCTGAGTTTGAATTGAAGTCATTTGTTCGGCTAACCATTCAGGTTTAGCTCGAGTTCAACTTTAATTTAATTTTTGTTTGAATGGAGTTGAGTTTTCTTGAGATCAGATTGGAATATGTACGCATGTGTACATAAGTTAATTTATGTTTTCTCGTACTTATGCATCATGTATTTATGTATTATAGATATATATGTTTATGTTGCTGTAGGAATATATTTAAAAAAAATAAAATTGATTATTATGTTTTTTTTTGTTTCAAATTGAAATTAAATTGAACTTGCTATTTTTAAACTCAAATTGAGCCATTTTATAGCTGTCCTAAAATAGAGCTGGATCAAAACTTTGATCCTATTAAACAAATTAATATTTTTTGTCTTGATTATAGCTTTCTTTGACGGATATTCAACTAAAATTAATTGTTCTGCGGTGTAAATTATTAAAGACAGCAGAGCAAAACAATACCAAGAACTGGAATCAAGAAAAGATTTCCTTGTGTTAGAAAAACGGCTCAGTTGAGTCCAATGAGATTACAAGATGGTGGAATGAAGCAGGAAAAATAACGGAACAATAAGAAAAAAGTATAGTAGAAAGATTGAAAAAAAAAGGAATTCAAATATAGTGTACAGTGGGGTTCTTCTTTACAAGAAGGTCAAAACAGAGAATTTTTGGGCCTGCCAAATAGTAAAATGATTTCTTGAACTGTCAAGGTTCTGAAGTGAAGTCTTCTTGTTCTCTTTCTTCATAGTGGGCTATCAAAGCTAGCGAGGTTATAAGATCTCTCAATATTTAGGAGGCTGAAAAGATCCATAAGTAGCTGTTAGACATTTAAATAATTAAAATCCTTCATCGCCAAAAGAATCACACTTTGCAAGTGCGGCGAAAGGGGCGCTACATGTAGGTTAGCATTCAACACAATGCTATGAGAGGTGTGTTCCAGGTTAAGGTGCCTGTTTTAGAGGAGATCCACTAGAATGCATGATAAAGAGTTTTTTTATTGTAGACATTGATGAGGTGTTTGAGAGGATTTCGAGGCGTGGGGCAGTTCTGCTTCTATGGAGTAGATTGGTGAGCATTTTGAGTAGGCTACTAGATTGAAAATGTAGAAGTACTCGGCTCTTTTTTAAGAATGATGTAGAGCAACAAATTTATGCTAGAGAAATTGCCACTGAACACACAAACTAGAAAGATTAAATAAAATATTTCATTAATTCATGGGAAGGGGAAGATAAGAAGTAAAAGGGTGAGCCTTCAGCTTGTGTTATTTCACTAATAGAAGTTGTAGTTTATTCTATAAACAGAAGAATGGAAAGAGAAGCTAGTAAGGACAGACATCTCACCAAATATTAAAGTGGTTTGACTAGTTAGTCTGCATCCATTATACAAAAGAAGTATGAGGTTCACTATGTTTGGGGAAAAAAGATGGAGAATATAAGCTCTTGCTGAGTTCAATCTTAAATATAATTGCTAAGCAAAAAATCCATCATAACTCTAGAAGAGGAGTTCTTATATTGGAATATTTGGCTAGTTTGAAGCGGAACACCGTTGGAGTAAATAAGACTATTTATTCTTGTGATAGCTCATTCTCTTCAGAGATTCACAAAGAAATGGCACATACCTTCAAAAAGCTTGAAGCAATTTTTAGGATGAAATAGAAAATTAAAGAGGTAAAAGGCGGCATAAATTAGACGATGAGAGGTGATAACAGAAGCAACTAAAATAGAGGAGACTACAATGAATATGGAAGTAGTGGCTGCTGTAGTTGATGAAGAGATTGCAATGGAAGTGACCACATAGACAACTCTAATATAGTGGTTACTTCCATTGCAATAGGTCATCCATCTTGAGAGGAAGAAGAGGAAAATGGACAAAGATATGGCAGTGAAGGTGGTTAAAGCACTCATTGAGGCAATGAGAGCATAAAATAGAGATACTAATGAAGAAGGGAGTGAAGGTGACGCACAAGAAGCTCAAATGATGTAAACTTTATCCTACTGCTCTTAGTCCTCCTGCCTCTTTAAGCTCTTACCATGCTATCAGGTGTTACATAGATGGTCAACGTAGGTTACACTTGATACCTCATAATAACGCATGTGCCATCACAAAAGCGATATGGTTAAATGGAGAAAAGGTGATCTTCCGTCCTAAAAAGAAACTTTCTTCGTGATTGACGTACATCCCCTTTAGCTCGTGCTTCAGCATTTGTAGTTATTATGGTTATACTCCCTTACGAGATGAAAAATGGCAGCCTTAACACTGACATGTAGGCATAACTCATGATGTTCGTCAAGTATTTGATGAGCATCTCTGAATGAATATTCCTGGGTAATTGTTGGCTTGCATCATCACTATTAAGAAGCTGCGACAGATGGCTTAGGAGTATTGGGAGGAAACTCGGGCATGGTTGTAAGCCATAATTAGGTGCTGAGTTTAGTTGAGAATTTTTGGTGTTACTGTGTTTATTAATTCCATGGTCATATGGCTCTTGCATAAAGACTTGATAGGCTAGAGATGTAAAACATCATGTTAATTTTAAATAAAATGATTCTTGAAACTTATTGTCAAGGAAATGGGCAAAATAAAATTTTGATAGACTATAACGAAAGAATCAGGAGATAACTGAATAGACAGATCACATTATAGTAACACTAACCATGTTGAGCATTCACAACTACAACAACAATAACAAGCTCTTATCCCACTGAGGCTGTGTTTGGCTCGAGTTTATCTGCGCGGTGCAGCGGGAGACCGCAATTTAGTGTCGTTTGGTGCGGCGTTTCATCTGTTGCGGCCACGAATCTGGGCGAAACGCCGGCTGCGGATGAGACCCTGCGACCCGCGTTACCCTTCATTTTTTTTACCCCCGTAACCCTCCATTCAATCTACATTCTTTACCTACTTCTCCGAGCTTCCTCTCCCCTAGCCGTCGTTCCGGTCATCCACGTACCACACCTTTGTTAGAATTGCGATCGCATGGTATAGGTCATATGTCTGCCTCCTCTTCGTATTTATTTTCCCCAATTATCCTTGTTGATTTCGCTGTTGTGCCTAGGGCTTGTGTTCACATCCTCTTTGCAAGATTGTCGCACGATCTTCACATCACCAAGAAACCCCACACAAGAATGGTCTCGTCTTCAAGCCTCCTCTCCCTCTCTTTTTGCACGTACCATCTTTCTTTTGGTAGATTGGATGGTAATTGTGTTTCCCATTTGTCTCGTTAATCTAATCATGATTTTAAACTTCAAAGTGGAAACTACTCAAAAACTGCAAGTTTCAGATTTTGGATTTGCCTCAGCTTTGTCAACCACATCCAAACTATGCTTTATTTCATTATTTAAAACTGCTAGTTGTTGAGTTATTCATGTCTCTAATTGATCTGGAGCTTGAACTGTATTGTGAGTTCTTTGTGCAGTTTTCATTCTTCTGGTGGAATATTGTAACATTTTTGGTTTGTATACTTGAGCAAATGTTTGGATTTTCATTTTTTTTGTGGCAACAATGATACCTTTTTCCGTATTTTTGTAACTAGTAGATCCATATTAGCACCATTTTTCATTTGTGCAGTTAGTTTTTTTATTGGCACACATGAACCAATATTAGTTGCAGTTTTGGAAGATGACATGATCTTATGAAGACTGTTATATACATAAATACTACACAGGGGCAGAATGGTCATTTTTTCAGATATAGCTACCCAATAGCTGTTTTCACACAGCTGCAACAAACAGACAACCAGCTTTCCTGCAGCAGCTTCCCCACAGCAGCTCCCGGGGCAGCATAGCTGCAACTGAAAAGCTGAGAAGCTGCAGCCGCCCCAAACAGAGCCTAAGTGGGTTGACAAATGTTGAGTATGCACATCATAATAAATTTAATAATTGAAATACTAATATTAAAGCAATTACAATTATTTTAACTAAGTTTGAATTTAATACATCTGGTTGAGGTCTAATTATGCTTCTTGTTTTTTCATGCCCCTCTTTTCTACATTTTGTTTACGGTATATCATCATTCTTTATGCCCTTGGCCCCTTTTCAAACAAAGAAATTTGTAATAAATTTCATTTAAAAAACTACACTGGTATTTTCTTTCCCATCAAATGAAGTCTCTGGTTGTTTGTCGGATTCAGTATGTCTAACTGCATCGTTGGGGTCACTGAAATGACTTTCTTGTCCACATCTCGCTGCTTGTTGTTCTTGAACTTTGATTGGCTTATGCATTTCCACCTGATCATAAATCTTTGTTAATTTGACAAGTTTGCTTTTGAGGGATTTCTCAGAATTTACACTGAACAGAGACCGGCTATGCTTGTTTAGAAAAGAAGCCAGATATAAAATTAGAGTTGTGATAGAAGTGACTCCAGTCATGAGAAATAGACCCCAAAAGCTATGTAATGTTAGGCTAATAAGACTTGTACCATTGTATTCATTCCTGTCACAGACTTCACTGCCATATAATTTCTTCTCAATGTTTAACATTTCATCGCTCTCCAGTAGTTTAAGTATTGCCTTTGAAACCTCATGAACTAATAGCGAGCCCTTGGGGAAGGCCTGCATAAATTGCTTTTATTAAATAAAAAGAAAAAAGAAACAAAAATTACTTCACTCAGAGCATCCCTTTTTTAAAAAAATTGAAGAATTGAAAACTAATTTTTTCTCTCTCCAGACCATACAACAAATCATGGATGTTTTCTGGAGAGTAAAACTCTGTAAAAATTTTCATTATCTATGAATTAAAGGATAGAGATGATGACTTACAAATCCAAAACCTTCAGTCTTGTAAATTGGTCCAACCATAGTATACTTGCCACAATTCTCATTGAGGAAGAGTTTGAGGTAAGGTGTCTCATCTAGAAAGACTGCAAGCGTGCCATTAGACAAGGCCTCATGGTACTCTTCTGCTGAGTTGAAAGGAATGAGCTTGGACTGATCGAACTTCCATTGTTTAAGGAGGTTCGGCATGTAAGAGTAATTCATATAACCAACATGGATTCCCTGCTTAATGAGGTCACTCAAATCTCTCACTGTCGGCTGAAGTTGCTCGACTGTTAGCATAGATGACAAGCTTGCTGTGTAAATAGATTTCAGTATGAACACCAAAAAAACGCATACTGCAACGATAATCCTTGATAAATTACTCAACAATTTCTCCCTGTGGGCAAAGACAAGAGAGGAGAAAGAGAAGTAAAGGACATTTCCAAATTGATCTATCGGTGCTCCTCTAAACTCCTTATTGATTCTATGCTCAAGAGACCAAACCACAAATCCTGTAAAGAGAAAAAAGGCTCCGCTGGCCAGCCAAAGACCCGCATCGAATGGCTTCAAGAAGGCTAATGCTCCCTTTTGGAGCTCGTCCTTGACGGGAACAAGCATTGAAACCCCTGACTCAGTGTATGGAAATGTAAAATCTACATATATGGACCGATTGGCTATGATTGTCACATCTCCTACCACAGCATCAAAATTCTATTGCAGTTTATGGAATGAGAGTCAGTTTAAAGGTGAAAATCAGCTGCAAGCTCTGAACTGATTACTTGTTGTGACAGATTTGGAATTTAGATTAGAAAGCTAGTATAAAGTGATGGGTGTTTGATTTACTAGATTCATTGATTTTTATTGCGTAGTCTAAGAAAAAACTGTTAAAATGATCATTTAACTCTTTTTCGGGGATCATTTTAGGCCTAGAGGTTTTAAAAATATCAATTTAGTTTCCAAACTCTTTTAATGGGGGGTTAAAATATTCCTCTTTGGGGACTAGTTCCCAAACTCTTTTAATTGGCCTAGAATGAAACTGATTGGATAATATAATATCGCAAGATTATCTTCATCATCATAAAAAAAACTAAAATTTATAATGAAGAAAAATTAAAAACTTGAACAGCCATAACTTACCTGAAGATAAACTTGATAAAGAATATCATGATAGGTAGCATTAGGTTTTCCGCTACTATCTAGACCATATGGGATCAACTCATAAGCAACATAAGGTAGCTCCTTCATTGCAGCTTTGAAAACATCTATGCTATAGCCGCCAACATTTAGATTTTTAGAAAGGGGATCATCTTCCGCATAGAGAAATTTATTGAATTTTGGCTGCACTGGAACAGCAATCCTGAGCTTGTTTCCCTTTGTAGGCCATTCCCACCCTTTAGGCACCACCTTTGTTCCACTGGGCCATGTTACAACATCAAGCTTACTTCTGGAATTCTTCGATCCCGATATACCATTTTTACTTCTCCAGAACCCAATTCTTCTTCGGTCACGGCCAACTAAATTTACTATCTCAAAAGTTTGAATCTCTAACTGACTCTCCACCAGATGGAATTTTCCAGACAAGCCATCGAAGTTAGTTCTTTTTATAGATTCAAGCAGTTTGGGTCCATTTGAGTATACGCCAATACTGCCTAAATCTGTATAGCTATTACTGATTTCTAACACCTCAAATGTGGAGTTAGCCATAACACCCCTCTCTGCTGCCAGAGCTAACATCCAAACTGTGTCATATGCCCATAACCCCATTAACGTGGGTTCAGTAAGTCTGGTTTGAGGATCTTCCTGTTGGAATTTTTTCCTCCATCTCTGCTTAAAGTTCTGAAGCCTTTTTGTCTCATAAACATAAGGTTTTATACCCAAAACCCCCTGCATCACATCAGTGGCTGATAATGCCATATCAGTCAATGCAGAAGTTGTAATCCATACATATCCTTCTTCCAGCATTCCTTCCTTTTCTGCAATAGAGAAAAACTGTAAACCAGAATTACTTGTCAGATGTGCTATAAATACTCTTGTCTGCATCTTCTTCAACTTAATAAGCTCTTTCAGGATCTGTTCCTCTGTAGCTGAGGAAGGAATCTTACTTCCGTATGGGACATGAACGTTGATTTCCTGTAACGAATCGATCAGGTAAGGCAGAATTCCATTTCCATACCCACTGTCTTCAACAACTGGAACAACCTGATTCCATCTGAATTCCTGAACTATAGAACTGATTACTCTGGCTTGGGTGGAGTCAGCTAAGGAAGTCTGTATGTAGTAGGGACTTTCCTTGGTTGAAAAATGAGGACTTAGTTCTGAAAAGGAGATGATAGGAACATGAGCTTTATCTCCAATCTTCATAACAAATCTGGCCTCCGCTGATTGCTGTGGTGCTATGATCGCTTCTGCTCCAAAAGCTTTCAGCAGATCGATTCCTGAAAACTCAATTTTCTATAATAATAGAAGTGATAATAAAGTTTTCTAAACAGTAATATGCTCCACACTTATGTTTAGAGTATTAAACAATTGTTCATGTACCAAAAGCTTTCAGCAGATCGATTCCTGAAAACTCAACTTTCTATAATAATAGTAGTAATAATAAAGTTTTCTAAACAGTAATATGTTCCACACTTATGTTGAGTATTAAACAATTGTTATTGTATTTGGTCACTCATCTGAAGTAAGAAAGTAGCAAGACTTATACTGTACATAATATATATTTTAAATATAAATCTATAAAACATGTGTAAGAAACTGTTTTGCATATAAATACATGAATTGCCACTCATTACAGGTAAAATAAATAACCATTCTTGATCCATATAACTAACTTGCAAAAAGAAATACCCAAAGTGATAAATAGAAAGACAAGCTGAAAAATGGTTACAAGAAGATGGCTCTGAATCAATAGCCTTGCATGCAACGGAAGCAACTGAAGAGAAGAATCATAACAATGAGAAGATGAGATCAATAACCTGCCGCCGCAGCTCTGAAGGCATCGCCTTCCGAGTTGCCGAGGTGGAGAGCGAGCCTTGTGGTGTAGCCAGGATTGGCGGCATAGAAATCGTCGGCAGCCATTGTCATGCAACTCCAGCTTATATTTCCAAACCATGAATTGTTTTCCAAAATCACTCCTACATTAAATAATATATTTGTTTTCTTACCACTATTACTATTAATGTTATAGTTACTATTTCCCCCAGCTTGTTGCCCCAAAGTGCATGAGAAGAATAGAAGTGGGAGAAGAAAGATATGAAGACTTCCATGTCCATTCTCCATGTGTTTCCTTGAGTCGGAGCTGAAGAGTAGCTCAGAAGTTCCCATTAATGGCTATTTATGGTTTTCATAATCCATATTTAGTTATAAGTAATTAGTACTGAGAGGAGAAATCTGAGGATTTAGTTTCTGATATCTGATTAGTCCAAGTCCACGCTGATAGTCGTTTCTTTCAAATCTGCACTATTTTCTTCGTTATTCTTTTGGTCGGTTGATGCCATAATTTTTACTTTATTTATTGACTTCTGGAGCACATTTTAAGAATTTACATATCTAACCCCCAAACTTATTTTTACATTATATACCTCCATTCCTGTGCATATAAAGGTGTAGTTTTCTTTTGAAAAAAAAATGATATTTTTGATGGTGATATAAAAGATTTGTATCATAAATATAAAGAAAATAAAAAAAAGATATTTGGTGTTATGAAAGATTTGAGGTATAAATATAAAAAGTAAGTTTAGGTGTTAGTTATTTGAATGCATAGGAACTGTGTGGTATTTATGTAAGTGCTCTTTTTGTTTTGTTTTTTCTCTAGTATCAGAAGTGATTGGTTTATAGTTATGCAAGTCTGCAAAACATTGAACACTAAGGGTCTGTTTGGGACAGCGGTGCGGTGGCTGGCGGCACTGTAGTTCTGCTCATTTGGCTGAACTATATTTTGAGAGTATTTTCAAAAAGCTGTTACTGAAATCAGTGTTTTACCACCGGTCCTGGTTATGTGTAGTGATAGCATTTTAGCTACGAGCTGATTTTTTTTTTTAAATGTAATAGTTACCGTAACTTTTATAACATCAGAGTATTCTTTAGCTGCTTAACAACAGTTTCTTAATAGCCTGCAACTGCCCAAAACAAAAATTATAAATGCATTGATAATGAATCTCTTCATATAATTGCTCACTAAAACTCTTTTCTAACATCAAAAAATTTGAAAAGGTACGTCTTATATGCAACTTCTTATAATAAAGACATAGCAGAAATCCAACCAGTAAGAATGATTAATTAAATTTATTATAATAATTTTTATTAAATTAAAATTATAGTTAATGTTAAATTTTTATGAATTATTTAAGCTTATGAGATAAAATCTTTAATGTATTATATGATATTAAAAGGTTTAGTAAAATTTTAGAAATAGTGAACCCCTTTCTTAGTTATATTAAATGATATAATGAATGACTGATGAAAAATATTACTTCAAAAGTTTTGAAGTCAAAATGCATTAAGACTCTAATCACAGCCTGCCATGTGTACTATTCAGCCCCACCATATATTAAATTATTTAGCTTTTTTACTAAAGATGATCGGACTGTACACGTGGCAAACAATGATTGGAGTCCTGCTACATTTTTGCATCAGGAATCCTAATATAATATTTTGTTGTCTATTAGCCCCCACTACCCCAAAAATTTTCTTATTTAATTATTTTGGTTTAATTGTTAAATTTAAACAATTGAACTTAAAGCTTTTTTTCAAGCCAAATTAAACAGAACCAAACTATAGTTTTGTCAGTTGGTTTAATTTTGGCTGAGCTGAATTCATGTAATTAACTTTATTTTGTGTGTGAAATGATAAATAATATGCATGTTGATCTTTATTAAATTATTAATCTACATGATTTTACTAATTTATATTTTTTTTCTAAAAATTATTGGAAATGATAAATAATATGCATGTTGATCTTTATTAACTTATTAATCTACATGATTTTACTAATTTATTATTTTTTTTTTATAAAAATTATTATAATTTAATATTTGATTTGATTGGTTTTACAGAAATAAAACCTGAACTAATTAAAAATATTCTAAAATTATAATTAATAATTAACCAATACTTTAACAAACAAATTAATTAAAAGAAATCAAATATGGTTTCAATTTATGGATTTTTTTCGAACAAAACAACATCTCTGAAGCCCATTTTACAAACTATATTTGGGCCCAATAAGAAAAGCCTATAGTGAAATAGAAGTGTTAATTTTCATGGCTAAACATGAGTAAACTATCTAACTAATATTGGTTAACCCCTAAACATTTTTACTTGGTCAATAAATTAAATTATTTATTCTAGAACATTCTTTCAAATCATTTATGATAAAGTTTGATATTAAAATTTTATTGTATTTCCGATATTAAGTGTCTCGATGAATTCCTTTAGCCATAAAATTTTTTGGGCAAGCCGAGGGCCCGAACTCGTCATCTAGCACTGTAATTGAGCCGAGTCAAGCCAATATATCGTAGATTAGACTTGGCTTAGTAATATTATAAGTTGTTCATGTTCGACATAACCTTGTCTCAAGCTTTCACATGATGGTCAAGATTGGCTTGTTTAAAATTTTCAAATACTTGATTGGCTTTATAAGTTGTTCATGTTCGACATAACCTTGTCTCAAGCTTTCACATGATGGTCAAGATTGACTTGTTTAAAATTTTCAAATACTTCATATGTCAAGTAAACGAGTATTTAAACGAATTAATAAATAAGCTAATAATTCAAATGAGTATTTTTGTTTTCATACATAATTCTCAATAGATGATTTTACAAATCTAAATAAATAACTAATTAAAGAAATTTCTAAATTAATATCTAGTTATTTTATACAAATTAAATAAGAATATATGCTGCAAGTAAGCTTTCTTGTAATCAAATAATATAAATTAGTACTAGTGATTATACGACGAGGGTTTTCCACACGAGATAGGAGATGGTATTAAATAATTAATCTTAAATAATAATATTACTATTAAATTTATAATTAAGTAAGTTCTAACTAATCAAATTTTATTTACATAATTAATAAAATAGAATATGAACTATTATCAAGCTTAATATTAAAGAGTTCAACAATTTACCTGTTAAACTATGATCATAATTAGTTTCTTTAATCTCCGAGCTTTCCAAAAAAAAATCAAACTTATTTATTTACAAATTTAAAGGAACACGGTCGAGTTTTAACTGAGCCGAGTTCAAGCTGTTCATCGAGTGCATTGGCTCACTCATAGCCAAAGCAGCACGTCAGAATCAATTTGCCATGCATTCGAGCACACCATAATTTTGTTTTTGTGCCTACATTTCTAATAATTTAAATGTTATTTCCTTATTGTTTGGACCTTTGCAATTACAAAATTGTTTTTTTTTTTTTGAGAATTTAATCTTAAAAACCTCTCTCATTGATTATGAAAATTTGGATCTTATGAAATAAGAAGAATAGAAAATTATGACACATCCAAATTTCTAGTTAGACTAAACCTAATCATTTTCATATGTCACATATAAATATTATTAAAAAATCATTATTTTATGCCATTCAATCAACTGATTGAAAGTATGTGTACAAAACAAAGTGTAAAAATATAAAATTCATAACTTTGAATTACACAGTGACCCCTCCACAAAAGAATCTCTTACAACACTAACCTCCATATGCCAACTGCCATATTTGATATCTCACATGTGCTCATCATTGACATCATATGTCACACAATTTGTTCTGACCACATGTTTGTCCTTCTCAACCCCCAACTTCCAATTTATTTAATTCATTCCAAGCCATCCAACAAAGGTAAATATTTTCTTAATCACACCATGAAGAGGATAAATACAAAGAAAATAATAAAAAAAATAAATTTTTTTTGGAAGCCTAAATAATATATATATATATATAAAAGTAAAAATTCTTAATGATTAAACTAAAAAAAAAAGACACATAAAACAAGCGGCATCCATGTCACCGAAGGAGGGAGAAATTTTCTGACGTGCGAACTGCAATAATATGTCGCAATGTGTGCTACATTTTGGAGTTTATGTCAAGATTATTGAAGAGAAACTCATATATTTCACATAAATAATCTATATATATATATTAATTTATGAAAAAGGTTTTGCTTCACTATCATGATGAATACAAATAAATTCCCATAAATAAGATTTTAATTTATGATATTGATAATTTTTAATTTATTTCTAAAATTTTAATAATGAGAAAAATTATGTATAATTTCCTTGCTCTCAATTGAGGATGCTCTTACTCTATACACTAGTGAAGGTTTTAATTTCTCTATATTTTCTAACTTTATTAATTTAGTTGATATATTTCTATTTACATATTAATAATTTCTTAAATTTAATTTTCATATATTCTCTATCAATTATCAAAATTCACAATAAAACTCTAACCCATATTTCTTTTATTTAATATCATTATTCAAATGCTATCAGGGGTGAAATCAGGTTATGTCCAATTCTCTATATAAATCATAGAATTTAATATATTTTTACTTAGAAAAAATTAGACATTTGGTGATTTTGCCCACCTTTAAAATAATGCAGGTTTCACCCCCTCAGGGTTATGTATATAATTATGTCATTTCTTTTATTTTTGTTGCTCTATTTTTTCATGAACACCATAAGCCTAAGGAAGAAGATGCTCTACTTCCACTCTCCATGGAATGATGCCACCATATTGTTGTCTTTTCTTTGTCAAGATGGAAGAAGGACAAATGGCAAATAGACTTTTTATTATTTTATTTTGGTGAAGAAGCTTTCAAAACCTCAGTTTGTCAACAGCTAAGAGGATCAATTCATGAAGAAGACAAACTTAAATTATCTCTGTTGAATATTGGATTCCATCAATTTTTTCTCCAGATCTCTCCGTTTTGTCTGATTTTTCTTTCTTTTCTTATTTTTTATGCCCTCACGATCAAAGGTGGAAGATGAGGGGGCACTTTCTCCTCCATTTCCTCCCACGTACGTTCAGCTTATGAGAGCTATTCAAATTATATATTAAGATATGCCTAGTA